GGACTGATGGAACCAAAATAGTTATTTGGGCAGAACAAGGGTCGTTATGTATGGAGGAAAAAAACACAGCACTCCAAGAAAAACACCTGCTACCTACAGTAACATTTGGTGGTGGTTCCATCATGCTGTGGGGCTGTGTGGCCAGTACAGGGACTGGGAATCTTGTTAAAGTTGAGGGACACATGGATTCCAATCAATATCAGCAGATTCTGGAGATCAATGTCCAGGAATCAGTGACAAAGCTGAAGCTGCTGAAGCCGGGGCTGCATCTCCCAACAAGACAACGACCCTAAACACTGCTCAAAATCTACTGAGGCATTCATGCAGAGGAACAGGTACAACATTCTGGAATGGTCATCTCAGTCCCCAGATCTGAATATTATTGAAAATCTGTGGTGTCACTTAAAAAGAGGTTTCTGTGGTTGGAAACCATCAAACCTGAATGAACAAGAGATGTTTTATAAAGAAGAGTGGTCTAAAATACCTTCAGTCACAATCCAGACTCTCATTAGAAGCTGTAGGAAGTGTTTAGAGGCTGTTTTTTTTCTGAGAAAGGAGGATCTACTAAATATTGAGTTAAGGTTTTATTTGGTGCTGAAGTGGATGTACCTTCCTAATTTTGTTTAACCAGTTATTGCACACTTTCTGTAAATCATATAAACTTGAGTTCACTTTTCAAATATCACTGTGTTTGTCCCCAATATGATATATTTAACTGTTTTTTTCTATCCAAACAATCAGTGATTAATAAAGGTAAATCAGGAACATTAACAAGGCTGCCCAAACTTTCGCACCCCACTGTAGAATGGTTGGTAGTTCAGCACAAGACAAAATTTACATAAAGACAACATATAATTAGATTAAAACACAACACACACATATACAGTACCTAGGGTCARTATAGAATCACTAATGAAACTAGCATCCATGTTTTTGATCTGTGGGAGGAAACACGAGAGTAAACTTTGTACATGGTGTCATTAGATGGGATTTGAGCCCATGATTTTCTTGCTGTGAAGCGACCGTGCTAACCACTGTCCTGTTATGCAGATTTTTTTTTTTTTTTTTTGGAAATATGTGTTGAATGAAAATCTTGTTGGAAAACCAGAGCTCATACTAGCAGCCACACAACCTATCTACACCTTCAACACAATTATAAAGACACAAAAATAAAACAAAAGCATACTTTTAAAGTTGCCTTGGGACTACAGTTATTGCACTACAAAATTGGGTGTCCCGCGCTATGTTAGAGCTCCCATTAACAAAATCTCATAACCTATTTCCTCCTAAATTAGTCTCATGAAAAACAAGCTAGCCATAAAATAGGCCTGAGGCAAATAATAAAACATTTTTATGTAGTTATTTTTTCCTCAAAAAATATATATTAATAATAATTTCTAAACTGAAAATATAGAAAGGAATTCAGCTAAAAGTGCATATGTGACAGCTGAAGCTGATGAGTTTCTTTTTATCCTTTGGAGCCTAAAAAATGTCAACTATATATTGTCTGCTTCATCACCACGTAGCTGTTAAATAATCACAAAAGCATAACAAAGAACTGAGAAGTGAAGCACACATGAGCTACATGGTACAGTTTTGCATGTAATCCTTTATAGATTTTATTGATTCCAACACAGAAAGACAAAAATAACTGCAACAGTTCAAAGGATCTGAAATTTTGAATAAAATATATTCTGTATTCCACAATAAAATGTTCACTGAAATTTCTTGAAAAATAAAATGTAGCTACTAATACATTTGTAGCATTACTAAAGGAAGAGAGGACCGTTATACTGTCTGGTTTTCATGTTGGTTTCACTATACTAAAGTTTAACTGTTTCAAAAGGTTTACAGGAGAAAAAAACAAACATCAGGAAACAGATATTAAATTTGTTTTCAGGATGGGTTTCTGAAAGTATCCTTTAATGTTTCATCACTAAACCATAGCGGAACAACCCAATGGACTTCTTTATATCCTTTGCACTTGTATGCATGGCATTCTGCAGGTGAATCACAAAACAAACTGCAGCTCATCAGTCCTTTTATTTCCTTTCTGGAAGTTGAAAGAAATCATAAGTTGACAGTATGATGTGAGATGTGATGAACTACATATTCTGACAGCCAGCTAAATACTGCAGCTCGACTTGCTGTCTCAGAATCTAGGACACCATTTTATGCAGAACCAACCACTCCTTGAGAAAATACAAATGTATACCCCCCCCCCCCCCATTGGTATTCAAGATTAAAACAAATGCTTTTTTTTCTTCATCAACACATTCATCTCAATCCATGCCCTAACTCGTTGTTTTCTCCCTGACGGACTGCTTTGAAATTAAGATGACACACTGCAAACTGTACGTGCCAGACTTGATATTGCACAGGCAGATGTTTTCGCAAACAGCAACAAAGGTTCCGTGCAACTACACAGTCTAACACAGTTTTCTCCCTTCATGTGTTTTGATTATGTATATCTTTGTGAGACACATTGGTGAATGCAATTTTCACTTTATATTCCACAACAGAAATTGCCTTTGAAATCAGTAGAGGGTCCAAATAGAAATGCAACTTTACCCAAGGGTGAACATGCCTGGTATGAACAAATAAAACAAAAGACATACTGATGAAAGTGGACTGCATGGGATGTCACTTTTTTCCTTTAAAGAATTAATCATAAATTGGCCATGAAGAAAACAAAAATAGCTTTACCATATTGTTATTTACAGTATGTGCTTTGTATTTTCAAATCCGCGAGAAAAAGAAGGTTATTGAAGTTCATTAACAACTAAAATGATAGGAAAACACTTTAAAACATTACTTCAGTGCGTTTTATCACCAGCTTCCAAAGGTCCATGTTTATGTGTGTGTTTGTTTTGATGTTTTGTTGGCAAACAAAAATCTGATGCACCACTTGACAGATTTTATGAAGCTCGGGAACTCATTGCCCTGGTAACCAGATGATTGAATGGGAAACTTAGTGCTTTGAATGGTGTCATCATGTAATTTTAACCTATTACTGAGTAAAAAAGGTATCTAGTTATGTTTGAAGATATGTAATGAGTAAAATTCCCCAACAATTACTTGCCATAAAGTTATTAAAAGTAATTTACAAGCATTTAGAAAATAGAAAATTGATTTTAAACATGCATAGTCTGTCATTTTTAGATTACTGCTTCTTGTGCTGACCTAGAGGAGACTGATGATTACAGAGTTGCTGTAGTAGAGTGTGGCTGCACACTGTTCAAATTTTAGGAAATTACTCTAAAACTGTGTTTTACTTGCCCCCCCCCCCCCCCAAAAAAAAAAAATAGAAAGAAGGTAAATGTATGTATAAAATTACCTCTATGTATATTTATATCAACATTTTCACTATCCAGCACCAAAAATAGTGGATAGAGTCACGGGTTACTCAAGTATTCCCGTAATATTATAAAACAATCGAACATTTTTAACAATTTTATATTTTCTTATGACTTCACACCACTTGCGTGGACGCTCCAACATGTTGTGTGTATGAGCCTTGTTTTTGTCCCAAAATTTTGGGAATCACTAATTTGATTTCAATGTAGTAATTTACTGAGATGCTTCTTGTTCCAGCAGCAGTGTTCTGTTAGATGTTCTGTGGATCTGAGCAGGATTACCACTAGTAGCTGAATGAAAGATTAATGAAAGAGATTTCTGTTTCATCTCTTTTTGAAGTGCGGGAGCATAAATATGACAATCGAGAGCAAAGCTCTGGCAATGGAAAAGGCGGAGGAGTAAAACGAAGGTGAGGAGAAGAGAACACTGATTCATATGAAATAAGTTGGCACATGTGAAAGGAGGCACCGACTCTCTTGAATAGCAACCAGCTCTGTGACGCTGAATTCAGTAACACAACACCCATCAAAAGCTACTTCTTGCTTCTTGATCCCCTGTCTGCTTTTGCTTCTGTTTAAACATGTTTTGGTGAAGAAATAAACATCCAAGCATGTGTGAGGTTTATCTCTTAATGGGAGAGGAAAGAAAAATGAGGAAAACTGTTAAATTTAGTTTCTTATTTCCTTTAATTGATTACATGGCTTTGAAACTGAACAATGATAAGGAATTTATTCCCTCTGTGCAAGGTAGAAAAAGAAATAAATAAATTCAATAATTTGCAACCAGAATACATGAATTGATTTATAATCTTAGTCGCAAAACCCATCCCCAGTAATCTTCCAATATGATTACGCTCATAAGGGAGGTAATTTAAAGAACAAATGAAGTAAGTAGTGCAGTGAACGCTTGAGGCAATAAAGGAAAAACCTCTAAATGGAGCATTCCTTGTTGCTGTCTACCTAAAGTGGCATTATTGGGAGTAGGGAGGACTAAGTACAATATCTTTGTATCCTTCTGTGACAGTTAAACACAGTCATTACATGTGATAAAACACAGCTTTAAGGCAAACAGCCTTTCAGACACAATGAATATGTGTTCAAAAAATGTTTTTCTTGCATTTAAATGATGTGTTTTCATCTTTAAACTGACATTCCGTGCCTACCTTATCTAAAAAGAGGGATTTGTTAAAGTGTTTGCTTTACAAAAGTGTCAGTCTATGTTCTCATCACTGGATAACTGTCACAGTACAGGGAGGCTGAATATGGTTTAAGTTTAGTAAACATTTGTTTTATGTGCCTAGCTGGTTTAGAAGAAATACATTTTTTAAAGTAGACTTGTAACATGTCTAAACATATTGGGGCCACACAAGTCACCATCTTGGTAATATGCATTAAAGAAGAAATGTGTCGGTTCAGGATGACCAGGATCTTTTTACAAGAACCTGCGCAAGATGTTTTCCCTTTATTCATGGCCTCCTCAGGCTTTATAAAGTTGTCAGTGTGAAGAAGCAGCAAGGAAACCTGAAGAAAACTGACAGAATGCATTTGACCGGTAATGTATCACAAAAAAAGGAGAATTGCTTATGAAACTGTGACAGAAAAAATAGAATGATTTACAAAAGCAGGACACTACAATAGATTATAATGTGTTTGTCTGTATTTGTTTCTAACAAATTCTTGAATATTTTTTGCGATAAACACGACGCATCTTCAGTTTTGCAGTGGGCTGTGTGGGCTTTGTTTCTTTGGCCCTGCCTTCTTATCGTAAGCAACCCACTAGACTGCAGAGAAGATTCAGGCAGCCTCACTCACTGCCCCTCCATCTCCCGGGAAAAACTTCTGGACCGAGTCATCCACCATGCTGAACTCATCTATCGGGTCTCAGAAGAACTGTGTACTTTGTTTGTGAGTAACACTAGCCCCCTAAACCCGTTTGTTTCTAACAGTTCACATTTGCACTGTAAAACGTTGGATTTGATTTGTCCAGTAGATTTGATAAGCTCATATTTCAAAAGACTGCTGTAAGGACTTACTGAATAACAGAATGTGTCAAAATTGTCTATGTATAAGAAAGCAAGAGAAAAACAATATTTGACTTTTTTATTTTTATGACTTTTTGAGATAGTGCCACATTTTTCTCATAAAGACAACAATTCTCATTTTGTTGTAGACAACAAGTCGCAAAAAGTATCCCCAGTAAACTTTCAATTTGATCGTGCTCATAATGGAGGTCATTCATAAAATGTAGAATTTTATAGAACTTTATTGTATTATCATATGAAACTCCAAAGCTTATTTTTTGTGTGAAAACTACAATTTATTTTAAACAAAGGGGCACTTCTTCTTAAATTAGAATAGTCAGTCTGATAACGGATTGAAGCTAAAACTCACACCAAAGAATAACCATCTTTAAATCATTGTTACTGATCACAGTACCATGACAGCAAAACACAAGAACATTTTTTGTACCATTCCCATTTACTCTCAATAACTAACAAAATAAACTGCTTGGTTAGTTAAACATAACAGAGTACTTAAGTTGTGAACTTGTGATCACATTCAAATTAATTATAGCAGGTACAACCATTCTTGGACTATGAAAACAGATGGAGATATATCTGTGAGGCTCTTGAGCATGAACTCAATATTTACAAAGTAGTTTTTGTTTTATGAAATGTGAAATTAACACTTTGAAAACCAACGCTGTATGATGTCTGTATTTTTAGAAAAAGAAACAACCTTTGTTGTGAGATAAAACAGGCATGTTTTGTTACATTTCATTGCTGAAAAGACATTGCTCATGAGGTGCAGCCTCAAACTGTGCCCTACACTTCCCCGACAGTAAAAGAACGTGAGAGCAAAAAGGCTTTTTTGTTGGCCTATTTTAACATTACGCAGGACCTGAAGAACCAACTCCTTCTGTTACATTCTCAGTTTTATTTGCTTTTGATTCTGCCATGATCATCACCTCACTTGTGGGCTTCAAAGTAATCTTTTGAGTCTCTTCTGAGCCTGAGATGTTTTATTGAAGAAGCAAGCCCACAGCGGGGTAATATGAATGTGATAATGCTATACTGTGCTGGGGAAAGCACAGGTTTTGCAACCTGTTGAATCCACTTCAGTTTGGGACTAGATAATCAGAACGGCCTTTGAAATGAAATGATGCACGGGTTGTTACTGAGAATATGTGGCATGGGGTGCACAGACGAGCACATGCTGGAGAACAGAATTTATTTTCTGTTGTGTCTGCGGTGGTAAGGAGCAGTGAAGCTTTTGTTACTGTTTTCCTGGAGTGTTCTCTTTTCATTAGAATAATATACTATGTTGTTTATCTACCCTTCTATTGTACAGGAAAATAAGCATAAACATTTTTTTTTCATTTTTGTTACTTTTCTAGGAGGATATGTTCATTCCATTTCCTTTGAGGCTCCAGAGTAACCAGGCTGGTTATGCATGCATCACCAAAGCACTACCCATCCCCAGCTCGAAAAGTGAAATTGAACAAATATCTGTAAGCACAAATTTTACAGATTTATTGGCTTGAACTGTTTAACTTGAATCCTAATTTGTTCACAAAAAGCTGCTATGATTTTGCACCTTTAAAATCTTCATCACTCATACTATACTTTGATTCACCAAAAACCTAGTAACTGATTTGTTTGTAGGAAAATGTGTGTGTGTGTGTGTGTGTGTGTGTGTGTGTGTGTGTGTGTGTGTGTGTGTGTGTGTGTGTGT